GAGCGAAGATGAAAACAAAATGCCATCGAATCGTTTATGAAGACAGTCAGAACCTTCAGAGGTACATTCATATAATTAATTCATTCATATATTCATTTGTATAGTTCCCTTAGCACTCTTTTAAAACCTCCCAGCCTTTCCGCCCTGTTTTCACTCAAAACGAAACTACTCTGCTGCTGTGCGCACGTGAGACTGTTATTTAAAACTGTGCTTTATGCTGGACAGTATTTATTTATCGCGAGATGTTCAAATCGCGGTAATCTAATACGGTTTTAATGATAATTAAAAGATAAAACGGTAATACTAACCGTGGGGGATTTTATCATGATTTACCGTCAGACCGGTAATCGTTACATCCCTAATACATATATACATGTAAATATTTTCAAAATATATGTGTGTGTATTTATATATACATAATAAATATACACAGTACACACACATATTATGTAAACAAAAACTTTTATTTTGTATGTGATTAATCGCGATTAATCATTTGACAGCACTAACAAAATAGAATAAAAAAATAATAAATTATAAAGTTTTTACATAATTGAATATTTTGAATATGTTGTCCTGACTTTAAATTGCATGTATGTTGATTTAAAGTTTTAAACAAGATGAAACAACAAAATGACTTTTTTCTTACTATATTGCAGTTTTTATGTATTGCGGTAATTCGAATTTCAGATTTGAACTTAATTGTCATGAAAATAATGTCCTAATGGATACTTTATGCAAAATATACTGTAATTTCTCATTTTGGTATCATTTTGGGGTGAAATGTGTCATTCCTCTCTTTATTGGAATTTCAGCATAGATGTTCAAATGACTATTTAATATTTGAATTGTTTAGCACTCGTGGTTTCTCCAGGGACGTCTCCTGGACGTGTCGCTTCTGTCAGCGCACGCTCAATAATGTAAACCCCTCGAGTGCGGCAGTGCTGCCCATCTGCTGTAGTGTAATATAATGCAGGATGAGTGGAAGTAGATGAGATCAGCTGACAGGACAGACGTGTTCCCCGCTCATTCCACAGCACAGCTAATCCAAGCAAATAACTCGCATACAGCACGTAAAGATGCCTGTATCATTTTCAGAGAGGAAGTGCAGCAGCATCAGACGCGAGCCGCCCGTCAGTCTCAGAGGGCTGCCGAGCTGGAGGGCATCCTGGATGGGGTGAAGGTCAAAGTTCAAGACCTAGAGGACTCGTACATCGGTAAAGCGGCCCAACAGCACAGCCAGTTCCAACAACTGCAGCAGGAAAAGAGAGATGCTGATGTATTCATGCAATAAATGCATTATCTGCTTTCTACTAATATTGCATTATCACTAATATTGAATGTGTATTTGCAGAAGCGCTGTCAGTCTCTGGAGCAGAAGCTGTCTCAGGAGAAGGAGCAGGTGTCTCAGCTGCAGAAGAAGCTCCAGTATGCCGTGAGGGAGGAGGAGAGACGTGTGGCCCGACAGAACCAGGCCTTCCAACAGATCCACCGCAGATCAGCCTGACTCAACTCCACCACCGACCAGCAGTGAGTGCCAGAGAGGATCATGGGATCGACATGAATTATAATCAGCGGTTTCTAAACATGCTGTTTTATTTATAACTGCATGCTTAATTCATAGAAATTAATACAAGAAATTTGTAGAAATTTTCTATTGAATATTATTATTTGTATTATTTTTCTATTTTTTAATTTTTTCTATGTTCGATTTAATTTTTTTATTTATAATTTAAATTAAATTATAATTATTTAGTAATTGTGATCAATTACTCAAAAGTCATTGGCCAAAAGTAACTCTGCCATGGGTGATTGTATTATTATTATATTTGGGGGGATTTTTTTTTTTTTCAAAATTAAAAAAAATTATAAATTATTAAAGTTACTG